TAATTGGATTACAGTTTCTTTTTTGAAATAAATGGATTACATGGTGGTATTTTCCTGTTTTCACATTTTGGGCTAAACCAGGACTAAGACCAGGACTAAAACCAAGTCTAATCCATGACTAAACCAGAACTAAACCAGGACTAAGACCAGGACTAAAACAAGGTCTAAACCAGGACTAAACCAGGTCTAAACCATGACTAAACCAGGACTAAAACCAGAACTAAAACCAAGACTAAAACCAGGACTAAAACCAGGACTAAACCAGGACTAAACCAGGTCTAAACCATGACTAAACCAGGTCTAAACCATGACTAAATCAGGACTAAGACCAGGACTAAAACAAGGTCTAAACCAGGACTAAACCATGACTAAACCAGGACTAAAACCAGGTCTAAACCAGATCTAAACCAGGGCCAATTTGAAGAGAACAAACATGAATTTTCAGGATGTGGTTGGTACATTCATGTAGTTTTAAAAAACATGACAATATCCAGTAATCCTAAGTATTCATATTACGTTACTCACCTTAAGTAACTTAATGTATTACGTTACAGACTACATTTTGGGGTATTTAATCTGTAATCTATAGGGGAATACATTTTAAAAGTAACTTTCCCAACACTGGTTATTGTACATTCAAAACTAGGGGGTGTTTCCATCAAAGTCGCTTAACAAGTCCAGGTTTATCCTGAAATCCTGAGCCGAAACTAGCTTCATCTCCAGTTTAAGCCTCAAGTTGTTCCATGACAGAAATAAGGCTGAGTCTGATCAAAGCAACTCAGGCCTGAAGTTTAAGATGTGCTCTGTGCTCACTGTGACTCTGAGAAGGTCACAGCAATGGAGCAATGACATCCCAGAAAATGGGCTCAAAGTGTGAGTTTTTTAAATGATCTTATAAACAAGGGAGGAGTCACAGTGCAAATGAACAAGAGTTTGTTATGGGCCACAGAACTATTCTGGTCATTCTGATCTGAGGAGCGAGAGGAAAGACACAACTCCCCACTCCTCTCCTGGTCTTTCTGTGGACAGAGAGGAGGCTGGTTGTGTAGTGCGGACTCCGGAGTCTGGTTAATACGACCGGGGAATGAAGTTGCGTGACCCCTTCCCGATGCGCAGTAGAACGTGCAACATTGTGCATAAAAGTGAAGCTGTAACGGAACTCTTCACATGAAGCCTAACAAGAAACGATAAAATCTGGGCCAGTGTGTTTCCAGTTTGACAAAGAGCGAGAGAAGAGAGAATGATCAGAGACAAACGAGACGAAGGAGTGACCAGGCAGAATCCACTGGAAAAAAACAAACAAACAAACAAACAAAAACAAAAAAAAACAGTTTATCCTCATCCTTCAAAAATTAAGAAATATATATATATTTTTAAAAAAAAGTCTAATCTACCAAAGATTTTGCAACCCCTCTGCAGTACCTCCGCGACCTCTCTGTTCAAGACCTCTGCTGTATATGGTTCAAATAGTGCCCAAACATGCATGAATGACAAATAGAAACATTTCAGACTTGTTTTTGGGAAGTGAAAGATGTTATAACTGGGTAGAAAGCTGCATTTTATATAAATAATCTACCCTCTTTAAATGGAGGACCTTCATGCTACTTTGTCAAAGCAAAAAAAAAAAAAAAAAAAGTGCATGCCAACTTTTCTACACTAACCCACCATCCAGCATATTTAATGTGTCCTCAAATAGTATTTTTCCTCCTTTTGTACACCTCAGCAGTTCAATACAGCATGTCTCTCCCGATGCCCCCCTCTGTCCCCATGTGCTTCCCACTGATAAAACAGCAGGGCCTGAATCAGTATGGCTCAAATATAGGGCTTTTTGTGAAGTAGCCATCATTATTTGACACAGGTGTACTGACAGTTGGCAGGCGCTCCACTCTCTCTCTTTCTGTCTTTTCCTCTCTCACGCCCTTCCCCTTCGAGCTAGCAACCGACGGCTATGAAATATGGACAGCGCCAAATTGAGATTCATCAGACTTGCCCGCCCCACTCACCCAAATCTATATTCAATTTTGCAGCATCTGTCATGGCGCGGGCAGGCAGGGACACGCTGGGACTGAGAATCGCTTAAGTCTTCTGAAAAGTGTTCGCATTTGAAAGGCAGTTTCTCTTTCTCCGTGGCCGCGTTTGGTTATAACTGTCCGTGCGAGTAACGACGAGAAAAATATATACGACTGCGGACCGCCGTGGATTTAAAGGTCATGTGTGATGTGTTGTTCGGGATTTTGGACTTGGGTGATGTCGTGCGCTAAAAGTTTTCATCAGGCTTAAGGTTAAAAGGTGCATTGTGTAACTTTTTGACTGGGGGTCCGTGATTTTGTGATCTGCCTTTTCTATGGATATGACATTGTTCTGCCTGGAATGTTCCACGGTATGACATTAAACAGCTCTAATTTATTTTTATTCAATTATTGGTGGTTTTATAGCTCAAAAATACCTAGAAAAACAGGTATTCTGACTAGATAGAAAGGTTTAATACCATACTTTGAAAGATAAAGCAATAACATCTGCACAGAGAAAAGCATTTGATGGACCCTCCACCGGAAAGGTTACGCAATGCACCTTTAACATAAGATTAAAGTCCACTTTATTGTCGCCGGAGGGAACTGTGTCCTCTGCATTTGATCCTTAAATGTCACTGGGGCAGATCTTGAGCTAGGCTGGGTCAGGATTACCTTAACTGCAGGATTTTAACTTTTGTGCATGTTTTTGGTTGATATACTGTTAAATATTAAAGGGACAGTCTGGAATTTTGGACATAGAACCTCATTTCCTAGTTACGTGACGTTACGAGACGTGTGGACACATTTAAAAAAAAAAAAAAATTCCATCCAGTCCTTGTATTTGCAGGTCGCTGGTGCTAGGCTAGTGCATGTCAGTGGTCATAGTTATCCCGCCAAAAAAAACAGTCTTACCCACTCCACAAAGCACCAAAAGCAAATCTATTATTACACCAGACTGTCGATGTGAATGTCTGTGTCGATAGAATAATTTTATAAGTAAAACCAACCTTGCATTTGAAGGATTTACGTCTCAGCAGCAGCAGTGAGTTGTATTTCCTAATAGAAAGCTTGGCAGTGGTGGACTGATATCACCTAGCACCTATCTTACCGGAAAAGTAAAAATCTGCTGCTGCTGAGAAAATAGTCCCTCAACATGCAACGATTCATGTAATGCAAGGTTATTTTATTTCAAACATTATTCTATCAACACAGACACATACATTGGTAGTCTGGTGTAATAATAGATTTGGCTTGGGTGCAGAGTCAAAGGGGCTCGAACACTCAAAGATCATACTATGTTCACTTTTGAAATCATACTATGTTAAAATTTCAAGTCCCTAACGGCCCCTATTATTGAAGGTAAATAAACTTCTCCTGCTTAAGACATTCAGTTGGTCTTCAGCCTTTTACTTCCACCCTTTCTTGGATAAGCTGAAAACTTCAACGACAAGAAGTACATACAGATCTGTGGGCGGAGATGGGGGAGAGCTGAAAACAAACTTTTTTTTTCTGAGCACTCCAGCTTCAAATTAGCCAGGCTGGTGCCACCTCTCAGTTTAATTTCTCTCCAGTGACTAGGTCAGGAATCGGAATACACTAGACCGTGTGCAAGAATCCTGGAAGTTGTAGACCACACATCGGTCAGTCAGCGAAGAGCTGTGAAGCCATGATGTCAAACTCAAGCGCCTGTCTGTGTTCCTTTTGTGGTAGAGCACAACAGTAAACAAAGCGGTCGAGGTGGATGTAGACGAAGACAGACATTCTGTGTTGGCAATGACTCCCAAGATCAAGGATTTAAAGCGAGAGAATGTTTGTTGAATTTTATCAAGGGGAAAGACATTATTGCCCTTCTTCCTAAGGGATTTAGAGCATTACATATGTCACAACCAAATAGCAGCGATAGGTTAAATAAAGAAAGTACCTGCCTATTGTCAAACGAATGAATCCTAATGCTGTGAGGTCATAGGGCTTCCACGAAGTGAAACCGGATGAATCAGGCTAACTTCAAATGCAAGACAATCGAAATACAACCTTGAGAGAAGAGCTAATTATGTGGAAGCACTACAGTATGACATGGTTAAAGACAATTCGACATAGCACATCTCTTTAAATTGTATGTGAATTACCAAATAAAGCACTGGATTTAGCTTAATATGTCTCCTTTATTTTGCATACAGTGTGTGATTACACTAGGTATAAAGCACACGATGGAGTCTAGTATGCCTGTTGAGCCATCTTCTCCACGCTGTTCTTATGTATGTGTGGATAACAGAGAATCATTAGGAGCACGCTGACTAATTATCTCTGGAGTAAATGAACAGAAAGGTCAAGGTTTTATCTGCAGGCTGCACTCGCTCCCTGTACCAAACAGCCGCGCATGAGTCTGCTGTTTCAACATAAGCCTCGGTCCCAAGGTTATACAGGCCGAAAAGTGAACGCAGTGCTGTAGTGGGAGCCTCATTTCGTATGTGTCTGATAGATTTAGACAGAAGATGGGGTAGGTTGGTGGTGATTTATAGCAATGCAGTATTTTGTGTGATCAGACTAGCCTTGGTGTTTAGAAAGTTGAAAATCGTGTATGTTGCTAAATCGATTAACAAATGAAAGAACATTATTTACATGCATTATTTGTATTCTTATTGGCTTTTAAAGAGGGATATTTTGCTTCAATGGGGTATTCACTGCTAACAAACACTTAAGGGCCGTTCACACCAAAGCGTCCAAAAACGCCTTGACGACTCAATTTGGACGCCTTTGCATTTGAGTTTAGACGCCCCAGACGCGCGTCTTTGACGCCGTGGACTTATCGGGAGAAAAATACTTGACGCGCGTCCGGGGCATCTGTTGCCCTGGAGACAAGTCCCATTTTCCCGGTCTTTTCCCGAAACAATGGCAGATCAGGTTGAGCGAGTGGCTTTTGTGTATTTATTACATAAAACCCATCAGCGGAGGCGATCGGTTCGGCGGCCGCGTGTCTGGGTCCATGATATGATCCAGCGGCGTTCGGAGTTTGGCGAGTTTCATCACTTGCTCCAGGAGCTCCGTCTGGATGAAAACCGCTTTCAGCGGTACTTCCGTGTATCCGTGGCCCAATTTGATGACCTGCTGTCCCGCATCGGTGCGCGGATAACCTACCAGGACACCAACTACAGGCGCTCAATTCCAGCTGAGGAGCGCCTGTCCATCTGTCTCAGGTCAGCTGATATATATATATACATTAGAGCCCGACCGATATATCGGTTGGCCGATATTATCGGCTGATATGGGCAACTTTAGGCATATCGGCTATCGGTCAATATGCTTGCTGATAGGGGCCGATATTTCACGTGGGCATGTTATACCTCGTTATAAAGCTTAGACTCTCTACATTCTGTTCATTTAATCCAATTTACAGACAGATAAATGTCCTAATATGTGGCTCCGCATCAGTATTTATCGACAGAGTCATTTGTCTGTGTGTGTCCGTACTGTCCCTGAACACACCACCAGAGTGACGTCACTTCACTTGCGTGTGTTTGTTTACACCCGCAGCCGTGTGCAACATTGAGATTATATTCTTTTCGGACAATCGGTTTGAATCTGGATTAAAAGGACATTTATTAGTGCAGATTTGTGATGTGAGGAGGAGCCTGTATGAACGGTGAGTGTTGGAAATATGTCGATTCTGAAGCTAGTTTTGGTCATTTGTTATGGGTTAGCTGCTGTAGCTCACGCACATAAACAGACTGTTTTCTATTGGTCTGTTCTAAAGTGACTATATTGGCCGTATATTTGCTACTGGACCTGCATTGATATGTAAATGAGCTGTGAATAGAGGTGTGAATTATGACATTTGCGCATATAATTAATTACCGCGGCGCGCACGTATTTACGGCTAAAGGCTAATAGCGATTGTTTCTTTACTAGTTATGGGTCGGTCACGAACGAAATTACTCTTAGAACCGGCTCTTTAAAGGGAACGATGGGAGCCTGATCCTTATTGGGAGCCGTGTTTTCTCTTTCTCTCACTTTTTTTCTCTTCACGCCGCGTGCAGGTTCGTGGTTTGACAGCGGCAGCGGCTAAAAATGAAACTTTGAGAAATTTGCGTGTACGTAGGATTAAAAAAAATAAAAAGAAAAGAAAACGAGCATATTTGACTGTAGTTTAGCATAAAATAAATAAGTCCCGGTTTAGTCCTTTTTCAGTCCTGGTTTAGACCTGGTTCAGTCCTGATTCAGTCCTGCTTTAGACGTGCTTTAGTCCTGCTTGCAACAAAACAATCTGAAGAGCCGCTTGGGAGCCAAAAGAACCAGCAGCTTTTAGTGAGCCGAGCCAAAAGAGCCGGTTCTCTAAAAAGAACTGGAATACCCATCACTAGTGTCTAGAATGTGATGCAAAAATGCCATTAAGCCAACCTACTGTCTGTAAATATGATGTAAAGAGGCAGAATAACAATAAATGTTGCCTAAATAAACCCAATTTAAAATCCACCAGAGCCAAACCTAAGTTTTTTAAACAATTCAACATTTACAGTGAATTTTTACATCACTAAATATATCGGCGATTATATTGGCTATCGGCAGCTCCAACTTCCATTATATCAGTTTCATATCGGCCACAGCAAAATCCATATCGGTCGGGCTCTAATATACATAATGCAATAATATAACAATAATAACTTATTTTGTATTCATAAATATTAACAATAAAAAATAGTTTAGGCATTTTAAACATATTAATTATACAGAGTTATTGTCTGTTCTTGCTACTACAAATAGTCAATTATTTGTTGTGTTTGTGTGAAACCAGTGTTATAGAACATACTAATTAAATATGCTTATAATACTTTGTAAAGCATTAATATTTTCAGATTGTAGTACATTTTAGTACAAGTACATTACATTGTATTTTCATAGTTGTTTAGGTTTCTTGCCACTGGGGACTCATACAGGATAATTGGGGCCAGCTTCAGGGTTGGTGTCTCAACAGTCTCCGCCATCATCCCAGATGTGGCAACAGCCATCTGGGAGACCCTTGTGGAGGACTTTATGGCTGTGCCCACAGCAGAAGACTGGAGGTCCATTGCTGCGGAGTTTGAGCAGCAGTGGAACTTCCCACTGTGCTTGGGGGCTGTGGACGGAAAACATGTCCGGTTAAAGGCACCGCCCAACTCAGGATCCCTTTTCTTCAATTACAAGGGGGACCATTCACTGGTTCTCCTTGCCATTGTTGATGCCCGGTACCGGTTCCGGATCATAGATGTTGGTGGATACGGCCGGACGAGCGATGGGGGGATCTTGGCCAACTCTCCCTTTGGTCAGGCATTGCGTGAGGGCAGACTTCCTCTACCCCCTGACCAACACCTGCCCGGAGCTGACCACAGAGGACCCCAGCCCCATGTCTTTGTTGCAGATGAGGCCTTTCCGCTGCAGAAACACATGATGCGACCCTATCCCGGACGTGCACATGGTGGCCTTACCCGAGAGGAGCACATCTTCAATTACCGCCTCTCCCGGGCACGGTTGGTGGTTGAAGATGCATTTGGGATCTGGAGCTCACAGTGGAGACTGTTTCGCCGGGCAGTGGAAGTCAGCCCACAGGTCGCAGAGAAATGTGTAAAGGCAACTTGTCTCCTCCACAATTTCATGAGGGCAACAGCATCCTCACCTACACCGAGGGCAGCTGGAGCACAGAGAGAGGACCCACTTCCAAATGTGAGGCGGATGGGAGCCAACAATGCATCCCAAGAGGCCATGAGGGTGAGGGAGGTGTTCATGGCCCACTTTTGTGAAGGGGGAGCAGTGCCATGGCAGCCGGCATAGTCAGGTCCTCCACAGGACTGACCCACAACGGCTCTTTTAAGAGCCACCCACTAAACTACAAAGAGCTTAACATTAAAGAGTTGATGGTTATGATTCATTATGTTTATTCACTTATTAATTTATTACTACACTGCCTACATTTAGACTGTATATTTTTGTGCTGTTCTGTGTTTCTTGTTTGCAGGTAACAGCTGCCAGGACTGGGCACAACATGTACACTACACTACACTAATTACCAAATTACATGGAGAAAATAATAAAATATACAGTGATTAACTTCTTAACTCTTGTCTATGTATGTATGTATGTATGTTTGATGTTTGATATATGGTCTTCGATTTATGAAAGAAATAAGCTTTAAAATATGGTATACATTTTACTGAGATTACCCCTAGCTTACTTAACTACACAGCATTATAAAAAATTGAGCATGGTGTATAAAACCAAACCTTGCTATGATTAAACATTTTTTTATTGTACAATAAAAAGAAAACAACACAGATTAACAAAATAATAATAATTCTATATACAAAATATATATATATATATATACATATATATATATATATTTATATATATATATAACATTTCATTTAAATAACTATTTACAAATCAGAAAGGACCTTGCCTGGAGGAGGAGCAGGAGGGAACATAGGAAGGAGAGGAGAAAGGAGGGTCTGTTTCCTCTCCTGCAGAAGATGTCACCTCTGTTTAGTCAACCGGCTCCAATGGTTCCAAATTTAAACTAAGTGATGAATTTTATGAATTTGAAATTTTACAAAATCTTTAAAGTGAGGTGGCACCTTCTGCAGGAGAGGAAGCAGAGACAACAGAAAATGCTCAAAATGCTTTCTTGCATATGTCCACTGAATAAATACATAAACTCGTCAGCTAAAAACTAGCAGTTTCTTAATTATGCTGGGCGCAACGGCTAGCCTGGCGGGCAAAAGTTGTGATAACTTACCAAATACACCCATCTCCTCACTAATCTTCCTCCAGGCAAGGTCCTGTTTATCACGATCTTTATACTCAAAGGAAGACACAGCGAACAGCTCCGGGAAGCGCGAGACAGCGAAAATCAGGCTATCCTCCATGGCTCTCGTCCTCCTGTTTCTCTAGATAATGACGTCACTACTGGATACTCGTCCCTGATTGGTTGACGCGGCGCGTCTGACGCGAAAAGTTCAGCATTTTCAACTTCTTGACGCTGACGCCTTGGATGCGCGTCTAGCGCGTCGGCGCCAAAACGCTCAAGACGCGCCGCGCTGATGCCAGATTCGCGCCGCGCTGATGCCGAAAATGCGCCGCAAAAACGCAGGACGCTCTAGTCGCGCGTCCACATAGACTTTACATTGAAAGTGGATGCTTTGACGCTTTCGTCTGAACGGGCCTTTATACTCTCTCTTTGGAACAGTTTTGTACTTTGTAATTGTTTTGTTTCATGTGCCTAAGAACAACAGACGGAAATGAGTAATAATCTTGCCACGATCTCGGGAATCGTTGTCAACACATGTATGAGAATGTCTGTCTTCGTCTACATCCATCTCGACTGCTTTGTTTACTGTTGTGCTGTATCACAAAAGTGACCCAGACAGACACTTGAGTTTGACATCATGGCTTCACAGCTCTTTGCTGACTGGCCGGTGTGCGGTCTACAACTTCCAGGGTTTTTGCAAATCGTCTAGTGTATTCCGATTCCTGTTCTAGTCACTGGAGAGAAATGACATTGAGCGGAGGGACTGGGTGGCACCAGCCTGGCTAGCAAACTGGTGCACATACAACATTTTTGAGATAAAAATAAGAAAATGATAATTAAATTTGCTCTGTAGCTTAAATCTTTAATCCCCTGATCTTGTGACCGTGGTGCAATGTGCAGTTACCATGACTATGTTTTAACATGTGTGATTTTTCACACTTTAGATGTAAGCAGGCTTTATGCTAACACCTTTACGAACTGTTTTAATTATTCTATTTTGCGGTGACCCAGATGCACTAGGTCCAGCCGCATATAAAAGAGACGTGCCTCCTACGCCGAGGGCTGCTCCTCTGGCCACGTCATCAGCCGATCTCCACAGCACACTTTAGCACTCTTTGTGCATCTTTATTGTAACTAAATAAATGCTTTAGCAGAGAGCTTAAACCTTTGCCGTAGTCGTGTCTGCCACCTTTCTATGTTGCGGTCATAGAGCCTCGTCTTAAAACCCACTTTTATTCTCTGGCTTTTAACACCGCGTGAGTTGTGTGGTCCTCTGTGTCTGTTATTTATTTTACTTATTTACTGCTATTTTATGATTGATATGATGATGGTTTTATTGGTTTAGGACTGGTATGACCAAATTTTAGCTATTTGCCATTTTGTTGTCTTCATTTTATGATCTCTGTGCAGCACTTTGGAAACTACTTTGTTTGTAAAATGTGCTATAGAAATAAAGTGGAGTTGGATTTGAGCTAGAGCCGGGGCCGTAACAAGTGATTATGCCAGAAATGGGCGACACATCAAGTACCCATTATAGATGTTCATTAAAATGCACTGTCCATATAAAAAAAAAATAAAAAAAAAATATATATATATATTTAATTATTTAGATCATCGTGTTACCATTATTGTTTTGAAAATACTATAATCACCAGAAATTTTATTTCCAGTTTTCTGTGAATATAACTATTTCAAAACAACAAAAAGCAACATGGTGCTATAAATATGTGCTGTGTTTGTAGTTAATACCCTATAGAAGTGCAACACCTCCTCTTTAAAAGTAATTTAATATGAATATTTTATCATTAACTCTTAAGCACTTCCCTCTGCTAATTCTTGAGTGCAGTTCCTTGTATTCTCTTTCTGTACATTACATCTTACATAATTATTCAGAGCTCGCCTCTCTCCTACCCGGCTCTTGCAAACGGCGTCCGTGCGCAGTGGGAGTGAGATGGGAGACCACCTGTTCGTCACCTCATGTGGGCGTCAACTCCAACAAATGTATTCTAATGACACCCAGAAAATCCGCTGCCTTCTCCAGAGGATCAGCCACAAACCTCGTCACATCTCCGGTTATGAAAATCTGTATTATGACATTACCCGTGTCTTCTTAGGCTTTCCGTGAATTTGTTTACCGGTAAATTTGGATAGATAAGGGATTAATGGAGATTGCATGGGACGGCTTCTTGTCTTTGTAAGGAGAGACACTGCAAGGTGGATAAGAAGAAATCGTAAAAGGTGCTGTAGTTGATTTTTACTGTCTTAAAAATGTGAAAAATGGTTTGCAGTGGTCCAAAGTTGCTCCTCGCTTACCCTATACGTTCAGAGCATTCTAATTATTCACGGCGATGAGTTTGAGCTTTTTGTTGTGGTGGTGAAGGTAACGTCAGCGAGTGATATCATGAGATTGTGGTCGCTAACTCCATAGCCTCAAGTTTAGTAATATCAGGATGCTCTATGTTACATCTTCACGAGCGGTACAGAGTATAGAGTATGAAAGCTTTCAGAAATATCCATGTGCATAGGAAAGAAATCTGTGGATATTTGGCTGTCTCAAATGAGTCCAGTCATACATAAAATGTGTTGTGTGTATTTTATCCATCAGAATATAAATTGAACAGTTACAACATCAAGAATTGCGATCACGAAATGAAAATTCTGGATTACTTTCTTCAGTACGAATACGAATTCACATACGCGACTTTACTGGCAAAAATACATCACCACTTCACAGGCATTATTTATTGAGCAGAAGAAACATCGATCGAGATGCCGAACTTTTGCGCCGCATACGGACTGAACCAGGACTAAACCAGGTCGAACGCTTTCACTTCACCAATATACTGAATTATACTATTTATACTGGATTCTTCCTCGAGGTTGTGTAGTTGAAGCGCGGACTTATTTTGGAGCGCCTGGTACACGGCCAAAGCTAAAGCATCAACAGGTTTCCGGTTAGCATCCATGTTTTTCTCAGAGTCACACAAATGACACATAATAAAACGGCTGACACGTGGACGTGACATCATATCCGAGATTCAAGTGGGAGAAGGACGGATGAACAAACGCAGCAAAATAACGCAGATAATAACCCAGGTCTGTTGTTGAGGAGGTAATAACATAAGAGTCAATTTCACGTAATATAGGACGTGTAACATATTTAGTCAGAGATGTAACATTTTATATGTACACATGCTTTTAAATGAATTTACTTATTTATTGGATCCCCATTAGTCTTTACTGTGGTCCGGCAGCATGGTTAAGTCCTGGCTAAATCCTGTTTTAGTCCTAGTTTTAGTCCTGCTTTTAGTCCTGGTTCTAGTCCTGGTTTTAGTCCTGGTTCTAGTCCTGGTTTTAGTCCTGGTTTTAGTCCTGGTTCTAGTCCTGGTTCTAGTCCTGGTTCTAGTCCTGGTTTAGTCCTGGTTTAGTCCTGGTTTTAGTCCTGGTTCTAGTCCTGGTTTTAGTCCTGTTTTAGTCCTGGTTCTAGTCCTGGTTTAGTTCTAGTCCTGGTTCGTGTCCTGGTTTTAGTCCTGGTTCTAGTCCTGGTTTTAGTCTGGTTTGTCTGTTTTAGTCCTGGTTCTAGTCTAGTCCTAGTCCTGGTTGTAGTCCTGGTTTAGTCCTGGTTTTAGTTCTAGTCCTGGTTTTAGTCCTGTTTAGTCCTGTTTAGTCCTGGTTCTAGTCCTGGTTTTTTCCTGTTTTAGTCCTGGTTCTAGTCCTGTTTTAGTCCTGGTTTTAGTCCTGGTTCTTTTAGTCCTGTCCTTTTAGTCCTGGTTTAGTCCTGGTTCTAGTCTGTAGTCCTGGTTCTAGTCCTGGTTTTAGTCCTGGTTTAGTCCTGTAGTCTGATTCTAGTCCTGGTTAGTCCTGGTTCTAGTCCTGGTTTGTCCTGTTCGGTCCTGGTTTAGTCCTGGTTCTAGTCCTGGTTTTAGTCCTGTTGTGTCCTGGTAGTCCTGGTTTGTCCTGTCCTGTTTTAGTCCTGGTTTAGTCCTGGTTTTATCCTGGTTTTCCTGGTTTTAGTCCTGGTTCT